TTCAAATTCTCCACTTTTTTCGCTTACACTCTTTCGCCTTCACCCTTCAAATTCTCTACTTTTACGATTAGACTCTTTCGCCTTGACCCTTCAAGTTCTCCACTTTTTTCGCTTAGACTCTTTCGCCTTGACCCTTCAAATTCTCAACTTTTACGGTTAGACTCTTTCGCCTTTACCCTTCACATTATCCACCTTCACGGTTAGTCTCTTTCACTTTGACCCTTCAAATTTTCCACTTTTACAATTAGACTATTTTACCTTGACCCTTCAAATTCTCCACTTTTACGGTTACACTGTTTCACTGTTACCGTTCAAAATTATGTAGGTGTGTTTGTATGTGTGTGCGTATGCAACTATGTATGTAGGTATTTACGAATTTGGAGGATGCTCTGCACGGGAGCGCATTTTTGAACGAAAGAACAATAAAATGTCGAGGATCCTCCGCACGAGAGCGCGATATCGTCTAGATTTTCAGGACGCTCCGCACGGAAGCGCGATTTTCGTCCGACTTTTCAGGATGCTCCGCACGTGAGCGCAATTTTCTTCAAAATTTTCCGGCTGCTCCGCATTCGAGCACGATTCTCGTCCAAATTTTTAAGATGCTCCGCATGGGAGCGCGATTTGCGTTCAAATTTTCAGGATGCTCCGCACGGGAACACGATCTTCCTCAAAATTGTGAGGATGCTCCGCACGGGAGCGCGATTTTCGTCCAAATTTTCAGGATGCCCCGCACGGGAGCGCAATTTTCTTCAAAATTTTCAGGATGCTCGGGAGCGCGATTTTCGTCAAAGCAAGACGACCTGGAACGGAGCAATTTGATATAGAATTGGTTCTGGATCCATTCCGTAAACGATCAAATTTTGAACGACGTTTCCGACGAATCCTATACCGATCGTATACCGGAAAGCTCCGCCAAATACCTCCTTCTTGAGCCCGGAAAATCACCTCGAACGACGTCCGTTTGGTATAGGATTGGTATAGAAACATTCGACATCATCGTTAATAAATGATCACAAAATTTTCCGAATGCTCCGCACAGGAGCGCAATTTTGATCCATTCTGATGAAGATAAACTGGCGAAATTTCGGATGTCTCGAGCGGGAGCGCGATTTTTGAAGATACGAAGATGATCAAAACGTCGCCGATGCCGACGAATCCTATACCAATCCTTTTCCGGAAAGCTCCGCCAGATACCTCCCTCTTAAGCCAAGAAAGCCACCTCGAACGACGTTCGTTTGGTACAGGATTGGTATGAAACCCTTGGAATCATCGGTCATAAAAATGTTCCGAATGCTCCGCACGGGAGCGCAATGTTGATCAATTTTGATGAAGATGAATCGACGAAATTTCGAGGATGTCTCGAGCGGGAGCGCGATTTTTGAAGATACAAACATCATCAAAACGTCAAAAAAATCGAATTGCCTCCCGCAGGGGCGCGATTTTTGAAAACGAAAATTTTGGAATTTTGATGATGTCCCCCACGGGAACGCAATTTTTCAAAAATCGGAGCGCGACCGGTTCGTTATCGAACCTCCCTACGAAGAGCACTTTAAAGGCGAGGCCTTGTACTTTTTTGATCGAAAATCGATAAAAAAAAACGCCGTTTGTTGAGGATGTCTCGAGCGAGAGCGCGATTTTTAAGCGAACTTGGGCGCGTCCCAAATGTTTGCACGACGGAAGAGCACGCGGACGTCGGCGGGCGACGGCGCATCATTACAATTAGAACCCCACAGAGAATGTGGGGAACAATGAAATCGATGAAATATGCTGAAAGTTATGAATTATGCTGAACACGAGCTGCGCCGAAGGAAAACTTGCGAAAAATGCTGAAGTATCAGGAAGATGATGTTAATGATGAACTTTGCTGGGAAATAATGAAGTATACTGAAACATGGCGCACGACAAGAAAACGATGAAACAGAGTGAAACTTGAAGGAATTCGGTAACCTGATGAACATCAACATATGTAGAACAAAAAGAAACCAATGGTAAAATCATGAAATCATGAGAAAAGTCATGGAAGTGCGGAAAATGTATCAACAGTATGCAGTATCATCACAACGAAATGTCATCAGAAACCTTGAAAACTGATGAAACATGATGAAGCATTCCGAAGCATTGTGAACTATGATCAAACATGCTGAAAGAATGAAAGCTTGCGAAAAACATGAACATCATTAAATGCTGAGATTATGCAAGAAGATGAAAAAGCATTATGTTGAGGAAATATGTGAAAACTGTTGGGAAATGATGAAACATGATGAAAACTGCTAAAAGACTTGCGATGAAAATTGTCTAATAGTTTGGAAAACGATGAACGACGATGACAATCATGAAGTCATGAAATCGTGAAAATGTTGAAGAATATTAGAAGACAATGAAAATCATTGAGAAAGGACAACGTTCTGAAACTCATGACAAATACCTACTGCAAAAATTACAAAAACAAGATGAGATTTGATGACATACTTTGAAAGATGATGGAATATGATGAAAAATGACATCCTTCCTTCCATCCAGCCTTCTCTCCTGAAGTCGGTGGGGATCCCGTAAAAAAAGTGAGGATGCTCCAGCTCCACCCCACTACGGGTCCAGATTTGAGGACGCTCTTTGCTGAAATTCCCAAAGGGGAGCAGAAAATTGAAGACGGATCAACCCCTAACGCTTGGATT